CCAAACTCCATCTACTACAAAATTCATCGGCAAAACCAAAGACATCGACAGTTTACTAAATTTTGGCGAGGATGAGGCGGACAACTTGTTAGAAAACGACGGAGATGACTTGAAGGTAAGTACGTGGGTCGATACGGGCGCATTGGAAGATGGCACATCTGGGGACATCGATGATTTGCTAGACGCCACCGACTTCGGTAGCGCAACAAATTCAGCCAGACAGACACAATCCAAAAGCTCCAGCATACTCGCTAATAAGTTTCTTCAACAGCAAACGGGGAAACTTTCAAAAAATGTGGATCAGGCTGAAGAATCGATGTACAACTCGATGGAACTGGAAGGTGAAGATGAACCAGCTGAAGACTGTAGTGAAATGGTGGAAAAGTTGCTGGAAGTGCTAGGCGAGGAAGGTCGACTGGATATTAGCGAACTGGTTGCGAATTGTAAATTAGCCGAAACTTCAAAAACGTACCGAAGATTACAGATGCGACTACGCAAAGAGGCCAAGTTCGGCGGGTTTGAAAGCATCGACGAAGCATTGCATTTTCTGAAAATTGACGTCTCCAAAGTGAGTTTGCGAATTTTCTCTTGGTGATTATTTACAACAGAAAGCACATTTACAAGAAATCAGGGAAACTGGCATGTGACGTAAAGTTTACTCCGTGCAAGTTTCCCCCCAAAATCATGACAGATACAACAAATACGCAAACATTAACATTTTTATATAAAAAACATATTAAGTCAAAACCACCTCCAAAAAAAAATGAATAAAACACATCAAGACAGCCCATCACACAGCAGCACATCAACACACAACATCAAAACCTCACTACCTCATAAAATGCAAAAGCAGGAAAGTATGAATTAGAGAAATACAACAACAATAAACAGCTTACAAACAACAACCTATTTGAACACATTGAAACAACAACATCAACTGAAACAGCAATGAAATCAAGCAACAATCAAAGAACGTGCCGACAAACACGCAACCACCTACAAACAATTCATACATCAATCCATCTAATCAATTAACTTAACCCAGACCACTTGGTGCTGAATTATTTCAATTTAAACATCACCTTGTTAAGTACACACATGTAGGCATTTGTACACACGTCATACAATCAAACAAATCACATAGTACATAATGTGCACAGCGTACACACTCACGCGCACACTCCCTCGAATCTTTGCATTGCAGTTGAGCATACAATTGCTTCTATAATGCCTTTGATGTCTATAAATATGAACAACTGTATGGTTGGTTATATGCGAACATTATAGGATCACAAATCCTAACGATCAAAATAACGATCCTTATAAATAAAACACCACAAGCTACATTTGTGATTCTTCGACAAACGTTTATTTTGGGAAAAATTAATAGAAATTGAGAAATGAAAATATAACAATGGTTCTAGCACTTCATACATTAGAGTATTCATAACAATTGTTCTCCAAACAAAAAATATCGTACATAAAAAGGGTTTAACACTTATAAAAAAAATTTCTATCT